GAGGGGAAAAAAAAAAAAAACCTACGATACTGTTGCTAATTCTTTCCTATTCTCTCTATTCAAACCTTCCGGACAACAGTCCTGGGGAGAAGGAGGATTATCCACTTTCTATTTTTAAAGTCATATTAACTTAATAATTAAAAGCTTTTCAAGATGAGGTAAAAGATAAAATTAAACCCAAAGATTACTTCTCAACTAATCAAGCTACAATTTATAGGACTAGGAGACTTGCATCCACAACTACCTCAAGTGCTACAACATCACTTTCTGTTCAGGTAGACTGCTGCTGTTCCATTTTGTTGTGCTTCAGAGGTAAGGTGTTTCACTCATGCTTTCTAAATTCTAGAAGGGGAAAAGCCCTTTTGTAACTTGTTTAGTAACTAGACCACAGCAAATGTTCATTATGCCAAAAGTAGGCCTCAACAGGTTTTGAAAAGCAGATGTTTGGTAAGAATGTTGTTAATTCAGCAACAGCCAAAAACTTCCCTAAACTCTGAGCACTGCTGTAGACACATTTTGTGTAATATACTTGGCATAGTCCTCTAATTTTCCTAAAGGACATTTTCCAGCTTAATGTCATGTATCACCTGGAACAGATGGCTTTATTGAGCTGTCTGAGACAGACATTTTTCTACCATTAGGTAACACTCATTGAGCACATGAAGATGCTATTATCAAGAATGAAGAAGACTAAGAAACAAACCATCCTAAGGAAAAAAAAAAGTAAGTAAAAAGAATAAAAAGGTTTGTATGATCCACACTGTTTGAAAGATCAGGTGGCTTAAATACAAATTTATGGAAAGCTGCAGCCTTTTTTCAGAATACAACTACAGCTAATGTAGAAATATTTCTTACTAATTTCTTTGATGTCCTGGGTCAACAAAGCCCCAGGGAACATACCTGCCCATCAACAGAGAAAGCCTCCCTTTAGTTAACATGATCAGGGAGGACAAAGGAAAGAAACAGCCCTACCAACTGTTTGTAAAGTAATAAGCAAGAATATGGAGATGGATAATAAAAGCAAAGTGTGTAAAAGCGAGACAAAAATATTCCAGGTGTGAAATAAGAGGAGATTTGAAATAAAGGACATAAAGGAGTTCTATGAAGTCTGAAGAAAGGCTCTTAGGAGGAGAAAAAAATCTAGGCATCATTTATGTCAGATAGGCTATGTCTGAGGGATACAGTTTAATCTGGTTTCTAATTTTTATTTTTAAATTTCCTTTGGTCACAGCTTATGTTAGAAGAGAAATGCTGTCTCCTACTGCTAAAGATCCATCCCCTCAGGGCACCGCATGCCAAAGGTCAACAGAGCCGGCAATAGCAGTACATTCAAGCAAAAGATATACTCACCTGCTTCTGGATCTGCAGGAATTCTCCACATGTACAGGTTGAAGTCATCAGAGCCTGAAAGGATATACTGTTGGAACAAAATATGTATATATATATAACATTATATATTATAATCTATAATAATAAATATAATATTTAATATAATAATAAACATATTGTTTGTTTTGAGACAGTCTTGCTCTGTTGTCCAGGCTGGAATGCAGTGGCGTGACCTCAGCTCACTGCAACCTTTGACTCCTGGGCTCAAGTGATTCGCCTGCCTTAACCTCCTAAGTAGATTGGACTACCGGGACTACAGGCACGTGCCACCACGCCCAGCTAATTTTTTGTATTTTTCAGTAGGAATGGGGTTTGACCATGTTGGCCAGGCTGGTCTCAAACTGCTGACCTCAGGTGATCCGCCTGCCTTGGTCTCCCAAAGTGCTAGGATCACAGGTGTGAGCCACCACGACCAGGCTAAACATATTGATTTTTAATATATCTGTACAGACATTTCTTTTAAATAAACAAGATAAATAGGCATATAAGGAACCACACAGCAAACACCCTCTTAAAAATATCTGCATATCAAAAGGTTTGTTAGCTAAAACCCAGCAACAACAACAACAACAACAAAACGACCCAATTCAAAAAGGGGCAAATTTGACAGTTCTCCAAAGAAATATACAAATGGCTAACACGTACATGAAAAGATGCTCAACATTACTAATAATCTGAAAAATGCAAATTGAAACTATAATGAAATACTATTTCACACCCATTAGGATGACTATTATAAAAAAGTGACAAATATTGGCAAGGATGTGGAGAATGTGGGAACCCTTGTACATTGCTGGTGGGAATGAATAACAGTGCAGCTATTGAGGAAAGGAGTATGACAGTTACTCAACAAATTACACACAGAACAACCATATGATGCAGGAATTACAATCCTAGGTAAATATCCAAGAATTAAAAGCAGGACTCTAACAGACATCTGTATATCCATTTTCATAGCAGCATTATTCACAATAGCCGAAAGGTGGAAACAACCCAATGGTCTACTGACAGATGAATGAATAAACAAAATTGGTAATATACACAATGGAATATTATTCAGCCTTTAAAAGGAAGAAAATTCTGACACGTGCTACAACATGAATAAACCATGATATTATGTTAAATGAAATAAGGCAGAAACAGACAGATACTATATGACTCCATTATATGAGGCACTTATTAGAGTAATGAAATTCACAGAAACAGAAAGTGGTTGCCAGGGGCTGGGAGGAGGGAGAATGAAGAGTTTGCGTTTAGTGAGTACAGAGTTTCAGTATGGGATGATGATGAAGTTCTGACGATAGATAGTGGTGATGGCTACATAGCAATGTGATTGTACTTAATGCCACTGAATTGTGTATTTTTAAATGGTTAAAATGGTAAATCTCATGTTATGTATATTTTAACACAATTAAACAAATTTTTTAAATGCAGAATGTAAAATCTAGGAGATTCCTAGAGATATTTTATGCAAGGCCAAGTATCCTGAACTTCCCTTCTGCCAGCTTATATCTTTGAGCAGGAAGCCATCACCAACATAGCCATGAATTAGTGTCTTGGCATAAGCAATGATCTTTTATGTGGCAGCTCCAAACTGCTTGATCTCAAAAAGACAGGACACTGTACCAGACCTACTCTAATTTGAACTCATAAAAGCATTTTCTAACATTATCTAATAGTAACCAGAGAGTAATTTTGAGAGTTCATTTATTTCCAAAGGTTAACATAAGTGTTTTACTTTGAGTTGAGGTCAGCATTACTTCTTCCTGCCTTCTGTCCCCATCTGCTCATTTCCCTGAAAAGAAAGGCCTACTGTTTTCCTTTTGTGTGTGTGTATGTGATAGGGTCTTGCTGGGTTGCCCATGCTAGAGTACAGTGGCATGATCATGGCTTATTGCAGTCTCGACCTCCTGGCTCCTGAGCTCAAGTGATCCTCCTGCCTTAGCCTCCCAAGTAGATGAATTACAGGCATGCACCACACTACCCAGCCTATTTATTTATTTATTTATTTATTTATTTATGAGACAGAGTCTTACTCTGTCACTCAAGTGATCACCCTGCCTTAGCCTCCCAAGTAGCTGGGACTACAGGCGGGCACCACCACATAGCTAATTTTTTTGTAGAGACAGAGGCCTCACTTTCATTGCCCAGGCTGGTCTCAAATTTGGGCTTGAGTGACCCTCCTGCCTCAGCCTCCCAATGTGTTGGGATTATAAGCATAGGCTACAGCACCTGGCCAGGCCTAGAGTTTTCTAAAGACGTAATACTTGAAAATCACATCAAACGATCCCCAAAAAGTGTAAGTCCAATATACACACAACCTCCTGCCTAACATAAATTACTAAATACTGTGCAACCACTTAAAATCAATTTCCTAGCCTTCTAAATACTTGAGGGAACATGAGAAAAAAGGTAAAGGGATGTAAGTTTAAATGCTATCCATAGGGGCTAGGTAATCTTCCCAGGGCACAGTGGAAAAAGCAGTGGGCTCAGTTTCTTTATCTGAAAAATAAGAGAACTGGACTGATGGCTCTGTGAGGCTCATTTAATTCTAAGATTCTATGATTACTCTGAAGGAAGGGTGGAAGCTGAATTAGACCTCAAAAGTCTCTTAGCTGCCAGCCCAAGTGATTTGATAAGTCACTCCACAAACATGCTCAAGACAAGGACACTCATAAAACTAATCTTGTTAAACTTTAATTTAAACAACAACAACAAAAAACATAATTTAAAAAATGGGCAAAGAACTTGAATAGACATTTCTCCTAAGAAGTATAACATGGCCATATACAAATGGCCAATAGGCACATCAAAAGATGTTCAACACCACTGATCACTAGGGAAATGCAAATCAAAACAATGAGATACCACCTCATGCTCATTAGAATGGTTACTATCAAAAACAAAGACCCAGAAAATAGTTCCTCAAAAAATTAAAGATAGAATTATCATATGATCCAGCAATTCCAATTCTGGGCATATATTTAAAAGTACTGAAAACAGGATCAGAGATACTTGCAGCCTATGTTCATAACAGCACTGTTTACAATGGCCAAGAGGTGGAATTGATCCCGCATGTGTCCATCAACATCAGCCTTAACAAGAAAGGAAATTTTGACACACGACATAACATGGATCAACTCTGAGGACATCGCATCATGCTAACTGAAATAAGCCAGTCACAAAAGGACAAATACTATATGATGCTACTAGAGTAGTCATGAAAATTCAGACACAAAGTAGAATGGTGGTTGCCAGGGCCTAGTGGGAGGGAAAATGGGGAGTTGGTGTTTAGTGGGCACAGAGTTTCAGATTGAGATGAAGAAGTTCTAGAGATGGATGGTGGTGGTTACACAACAATGTAAATGTATGTATTTAATACTACTAAAATGTACACTTTTTTTTTTTTTTGAGACAGAGTTTCTCTCTGTTGCCCAGGCTGGAGTATAGTAGTACAATCTCAGCTCACTGCAACCTCCACCTCCCTGATTCAAGCGATTCTCATGCTTCAGCATCCCCAGCAGCTGGGACTACAGGTGGGCGCCACCATTTCCTGTCATATGTTTGAAAGGGGCTATGAACTTCATGTGGAATTCCTGCTACCCTGCCCCCAATACCACTGCAAAACAAACAAACAAAAAAAAAAATTAAAAAGAGTGAGCCCAGTGGGCTTATAAGGGGTTTCACTATTTCATCGTGAAGCATCAGTGCTTTCCTATTTGTTTAGCTATACCCTAGGGCAAAGCCATGAGAAGGGAAAACGAAATTCCCAGACAGAATGCTGACTCAGAAGACTGCCTTAGAAGGAAGAAAACTCTCCCAGAGTTAAGGCCTGTTGGATTTAATATGACAGCTCTGAAAATATGCAGAAAATGCATAGAATGTACAGGGTTCCTCTTGGGGATAAAGGCAACTCCTGACCTCTCTTCCTCTTGGAACTGTTCTTCCACCCACCACAAGAGAACAACTTGGGATGATTTTCAGGGAGGGCATCTTGCCTTGCTGCCATCTAGTGAGGGCATTTAAGTGTTCTCACACTCTGGAATCACAAAGCTGTCCTGTGGAATTCATTATGGCATTTCACAGTTGTCTGCTGGATGCCTTCTAGCATTAAAAGTTGGCTGCCTTGGGTACTTCTGATTGTGAAGGACAGAAATAAAAGTGAGGTCATTTCTTTATTCATTAAACAAATATTTACTGAATGTCTAATCTGTGTTGGGCATTGTTCCAGGGAAGGGAAGGCAGAGTTGATTAAAAGAGATACCGTCCCTGTCCTCATGAAGCTTATATTCTATTGGACAGGAGGGGGAAAATATTATACACATATATAATGTGGGTAGAGAGCAGAAAGAACAAAAAAAGTTAAACATAAAAATATATACATATAATGTGTCCAGTGGTGACAAGTGTTATACAGAAAACATAAAAATATATACATATAATGTGTCCAGTGGTGACAAGTGTTATACAGAAAAATTAAACAGCAGGTAAGGGCATATAGGAAGTACTGGGGGTTGGGGCGTTAGTTTTTGTTTTACAGAGGGTGGTCACAGAAGGCCTCTTTGATAAAATGGTATTTTGAATAGAGTCCTGAAGGAAATGAGGGAGCAAATTATGTGGATATCTGGGAGAAGAGTATTTCAGGAGAGCAGACAGAGTTCTAGCTATTTAAAATATAAAGTAGCCATTAAGAGCTCTTTTATCTTTTTTAAGCTTTGCAGAAATAAAAATAATTTCAAATGAGCTGAGTACAGAGATACATTTACTATCATAAGAGCAGCTGGAAAGATTCCTCTCTTCTAAAGCTATGTTGAAAGGGTCATCCCTTCCTGGACTTGGGCTAGGTGGGGCCACTGAGTGGGGCCCTGCTGATGGTTAGTGCTTAAGAGGACCACCAGGGCACTGCAGGTCTAGGTGGGCCATCTCACAAATATTTGCTATGGGATACACAGAAAAATAAGGAAGAAAACAAAGACCAAACAGTGCCAATGGCACTGTTTCACTACCTGAAGAAATAAACCCAAAGTA